TTGTAAAACTGTTATTTTATGCATTTCCATTAATCTAACCATTTGTCAGACTTGAAGTTAACGAACTTTAAACTTAAATTAAAATACTGAAAACTGATGTTCTATTATACAAAACAAGTTGACAAGGCGTTTTAAACTGAAGTTGCCACGGAAATTATTTACAGTTTTTTAAAAGGATACCATCTGAAATAAACGTTGGTATGGTTTTTGCTCACTATCTTATTATCAATACATCAACATGGAATGAGTTTTGAGTGTATTTTATCGAATTTTGGTACCCACATGATTTTAATTTATGTTATCTTGATTGTTGCAATGAACTTTGGAACAATAACATTTTTGAACAGAGAGTGGAGAGACCTTTCAAACGATATATTACAAGCATATACTTTCCTTTTAAAAAATTGAGGGTTGTACCTGTCATTCAACGGGAGTTGAAGGGAGTTTTACGTTGAAGTATGTCAAATTATAATCTAAATTTGACGTGTCGGGATTTTGTTGAATTATGTACCGTAACCGAAATAATGAATTGATTCCATTTGACTTTTACACGCTGTATATCCTCTGCTACAATAAATACGTCATGAAATATTACTATGCTATTATATCACGCTACAGTAACTACATCATGAAAGACTACTATCGTAAGCTGATTTTATAACTGAATTATCTGTAACATCACTTCGTTCTTGACTCCAATCAATATTATTTTCGACCTGTTTTCTCAACTTGTATTTAGCGGTATGTATGTATAACTGATAAATTTGAGTATAATTTACATATCTAAGATTTCTTTCAGATGCTTCAGTTCCATCATTATTATATCCATCAAAAACAACTTTAACATTTGTATCGTATCTAATTTGTACTGTTTTTGTATTACTTGATATACGAAAAAGAATTTCAAAAAAGCTACGCGAAAATTGTTTTTCATACAAATATCATACATATTGCCTTCACAGAATAAATGGGTTTGTTTCCTCTTTGAAAGGTTTTTGTTTCCAAATAATATAGAAAACAAACATTCGAGAAAAACTCATTAAAATCGGAGCCGTTTCTGAAAACTTACGAGGAGAAGACTTCATGGATTCGACTACAAAAAAAGCACAGAATTTTAGTTAGAAATTATTAAGGATGCCTAAGTAGAAAAAAATATGGCGTAACTCCTTTTGCCTATACAATAAATACCATTTAGTGAAAAGTGAGTTCAAGCGAATAAAAGACGATTGAAATCTGAAGATGAAAGATGAAAAGATGCAAGCCGATCGGCTTTCGTGATTTATGTATCGAAATATAGGTTTGCTTCTGATCGAAATTCGCAAATTGGGAATGCTATGATTGTTTACTTAATCTCTCAAATACTCCTCGCAATTACAACATTAATCGGGGAGCTTTTGAATCGATCAAACGTGCAGAAATCAAAGGATTTTCGCAATTCATGCACCAGTAATAGCTGTCAATGTTTTGATAACGAAATATAGAATTGAAAATACGGAAAGGCCAATAAGTCAAATATTCAATAACACTGAACAAATTATTTCAATTATAATTCAAAAACTGAACATATTCCAGTGACCATTTGTTACGTAAATTAATTAAAGTTTGGTTTGAAACCAGCTATGGCATGCCTTTCGAATTAGACAGAAATATTCCGACTGGTTTGTTTCATTGGACAAAGAGTTAGTAGAATATTATACAATAAATTGATAATTTTGATACATTTGAAATACGAGAGTATGCATGGAGAAGTTCGTTGTGGTTGGAATATAAATTATTCGAATCTGGTTCTGGAGTATCAATAAGTAAACAGGGATTGGAATCGTATGGTGAATTCAACCTGGCACAAGTTTTTGTTGAAGTTATCCATAAATTATAACAAATAAATTATGGCAGGAAATAAATTTCCATAACTGAAAAAGACGAAGTAGAGATTATCGAAATAAAGAGGTATTTTTGCTTTTGAACTTCGAAAAGAGTTCGATAAGGCCGATCTAAATTGAATTTTTGACACCAGGATTTTATGATACTTTTATAAAAAAGTTTAGAAAGATTTGAAACCTTTTTCAGTAGCGAACAGCAGAGGAGCATTGATGAGCTTTTTAGAAGAATCGAAAGCAAAAAAGATTCTGATATTGATCTGAGATTTCACAAACATATAAATTCACTTTGTCGTAGCTCATACAGTATCTTACGTCAACTCTATCAAAGTAGAGATATTATGACTTCCAAATTGAAGTTGAAACTTTGCGAAACCCTCATTTTGTCTAGATTAGCATATTGCGATATAATCTACGGTCCTGCTTTGATACAAACTGATGTAAATCGCTTACAAAAAATTGTAAAAAGTTGAAAACATATCTGAAGTCTTCTGGATAGATAATATATTCATGTTATGCCTTGCTCAATTGTTTTTCCCCTTGTCTCACCTTTGAAATGATGGAAACAGTTTTCATAGGATCATTATTTATTCAATGGAAGTCACATGAAGATTCATGAGTGACGACTCGACCCTAAGTTTTTCCTGAATTCATTGAGAAGAATGATTTTTCTTGAGAAAGTTGAATTACTTCAACTTCAGGACCATGCATATATATACATAACGTCTTCTAAT